AAAGCCTGCTAATGACCAATGCTGCTAATGTGCCTCCTGTCTGTTTTCTAAACAGAGACAAGAAATCAAATCGGAAAAGGGTCTGAGCTACAGTGAACGTGCTTCAACAGGTGCATTGAGTTTTGTATTCTACAAAAGGCAAGCCCTTCCTCCTACACAAACAGAGGGTATTTACAGAGTGAGGTTGCATGTAAGGCTGGAAAAACCTTCCTTTTATATCTCAGGGTAGAAGTTACATGGGTTACATTTTTTTTTTTAACAAAAATTACCTAAATCTAGAAATAGACACAAACTAATAAGAGTAGATTTTAACCATTCTGAGGCATTCATAAAACACTATTTCAGACCATTTTGAGTTACAAAGTAACCCCATCTATTGTTAATGAGAATCCAGAAACTTAAACACACGTTAAAACTATAAATATGGTGGTGTTGAGGCAAAGCCTTAGAATCCTTCACTGTTGGAAGATAAAAGTATTTTAAAGAAGTGACTAACCAGTGAGCTTGGGAAATCATATAAAAACAAGAATAAGCAAAGGAAGGCACTAGTCAGATAGAGCCAAGGTTAGAAAGAAAAACTGTGGGCACAATGTAGCGGGTATCTAAATGCTTTCTAAAGATTTACGAATAGAAACATTTTGAGAAGTATCAGGAAGAAAATAGAGAAATGAAAATGTACCATTTGAAATTAGAAAGTCTGTTTTCAAGGATGGGGTGATGGCTCAGCAGTTAAGAGTGCCTACTGCTTTTAGAGAGGACGGTAGTTCAATTCCCAGTACCCACGTGACATGGGGCTGCTTCCAACTACCTATAACTCCAACCCCAAGACATCCCATATCTCTGATCTCTGCAGGCACCAGCACACATAGATATAGACCTGTGCATGTGCACATAATAAAAAATAATGAAATAAATCTTTTTAATAGAAAGATAATTTTAACTTAAAAATAAAATGAACCAGAACTTCCAAGACAAGAATATTTTATAGTAGTATTATTAGTAAAACTAAATAAATATTCATCAGTAAGATGAAATGTATCTGCTCATGAGATACTATGTTGCTTTGAAAAAGAACCGAAGTTTAGATCCTCAAAACTCACATAAAAATGGGATGGACCTGGCGGCTTATGGGGAATGTCCATGCTTGAGAGACCCCTGTGGCAAGCTGGCTGTCTACACTACACTACACTGAAGAGCCAGGTTGGGGTTCAGAGAAACCCAGCAATCAGAAGCTAACAACATGGGTGTGCTTAGGTACACAGCATGGTGCCCCTAACCAGATGGAGGAGGGGAGCGTTCACTGTGCACACTCTTACACGTTTTCCTCTTGAGAACTTGAGGATGTTTCTTCTTCTACATATTGAGCTGACAGCATCCTGGGAATAGACTCTAAGCCAGGCGTCTTGGGAAACTGAGTGACTGGCATTTTCCCTGTAGATGCTGTAGGAACTAATCCAAGAAGAGGTGTAAACGTGAAGGATGCTGGGCTTCCCGATTCACCTAACAACTCCCCGTTCTTTCGACAGGCCGATCCGTTTGCTTGACTCTGCAGTTTAAAGGACTACATGCATTTCCCCCATGTGACTCAGACCTCTAGTTCTTCAAATGTCCCATTTGTTGGGAGATTCGTGTCGACCCTTACACAGTATTTTGATTTTCTAGATAACTGGAATAAATCAAACTCCCTTTGCACAAAACTCGGCAATTGACTTCGTGAGCTCCGGGGATGCTCTGGAAGATAACCATACATCAGTGTGCTAGCCAGAATTACCTTTTCTGTGACACCCCTGGCAAAGCCAACTCAAGTGGGGAGAATTGTCTTGTTTGTTTGTTTTTAGTTTTTTACAAGTTTAAGTCCATGGCTGTTAGCTCTCTTGGTCCTGTGGTGAGGCAGAAGGCTGTGACGGTGGGAGCTTGTGGCTGGTGCTGTTTACATTTTGGTGAACAGGGAGCAGATAGTGAGAGGCTGGAGCTGGGACAAGATACAGAGCCCAAAGACACGGGCTCTGTTTATACTGACCACCAGCTTGATGGGATCTAGAGTGGCTTTGAAGACAAGTCTCTGGGGTTTCTCTGAAAAATGATCTGGTCTGGGTTGGCTGAGCTGGGAAGGCCCACCCTAAAATGTGGACAGGAGTCTTGAACTACAGGAGCAGGAGGAAGCCCTAACACACCAACATTCATCTCTCTCCATTTCCTGATTGTGAATGCAACTAGCTGCCATGACTTCTCAGGCAATATGGACTGTATCCTCTGAGTCATAAAGTAAACAGCACCTTCCTCCCTCAACTGGATTCTTATTGGCTAACTTCTCACAGCAGTGAGCAAAGTAATAATTCAGTGACTGCTTCTTTTTGCCCATGTTTCCAGGAGACCCCTCAAATGGCAAGTATCAGCAGTCAGAGACAACACCTTCAACACGCAAGACTTTGGGGGAAACCATTTCACACAGAGACCATGGCAATCAATGCCCATCTGTCATCTGCTGGCTGGTTAACACAGCTGAACACTGGCAGGGCCTAGAGCTTCCTGGTGTACAATCAGCCAGCGGGCACTCAGCTGAGTAGCAGATGCTGGATGCTTTGGTCAACCTGCTCATACACTGGCCAGACTCAAGCAAGGATCAGACGGAGTCAACACAGTTTGTTTCTCCCTGGCTTGGCTCCTCAAGCCTCTGAGAGTTCCGAGCTCTTGTCTAGACCAATACCTTCATCCATCCTAGTGTCACCAGAAGTAAGGGGACAGTGGCACAGGGAAGGCCCTTGATGTGTAGGATTTAGGAATTGGCTAAATGTTAATCCACACCCTGTGCTGTCTTCCAAGGTGACATGAGACTGGACAAGATTGTGTCGAGGGCACAGTTTCCTTCCTCTTTCTGGAAATGTATTCAGATCAGCTCTCTAAGTTTGCAACGGGAACTTCCATCATCCCTCTGCCAGCAACAATGTTAACAGCTAACACAGATATTTACCTGTGCACACACTTTGTAGGGGTGGCGTTTGTTCAGTGTGCATGCATGCGTGTATTCCTGTTTTCGTGCCTGTAAATGCACATATGTAGGGGTGCACACGGTACATGTGTGTATGCTTGTGTGTAAAGACCCAAAGTTGACATCGAGCATCTTCCTTGAGTCTTCCTCAATCACTCTCTGTTTATCGAGGCAGGGACTTCTTGCTGATCCCAGAGTTTGCCAATCCCAGGTATCTAGCTAGCCAGCTTGCCTCAAGCATCTCCCATCTCGGCGTCTTAGTGCCAGGATTGCAGGTAGCTACCACACACCTGGCTTTATGTGGGTTCTGGGGATCCGAACTCTGGCCCTTACCCTTGCACAGCAGCGTCTTTTCCACAGTGGTCTTCCCAGCGGGCTGGCTACTTCTCACTCCCTACCTTACTTGCTCCACCAGTCGTCCCAGGAAGCCGGTGCTGTCACTGCCCTCACGGAGGAGACACAGACACGGAGATCTATGAAACCTGCCTGAGGTTGGCAGCTTGTCCAGGGATGCTGTAGGACAGGATCCCAGTGACAGCATCCAAAATGATCCCATCCTTCTAGAAGCGTGCATACTGTCGACTGGTCCTTAGCAGCGCCAGGGATCTTACTTCATCCTCCAGACAGGTGTGTGTATCGTATCTTGGTTCTCCCAAAATAGATAGGAAGGATTGCTTTGCATCTTCAAATGACACATTATGAAATGAGTGCTATTAACTCTCTTAATCAAATGAATCTTTATTTTATGTGAATAGTTTTTCTCACTTTGTGTTCCAGGGGAAAATGAAGACACATAGTTCCCAACTCACAATTCTCTTCCTCTTAAAAACATGTGACTTGTTTTTTCTCTTCTTCCTAATATCGATGCTCTGCCCACAATGGTTAAAGGTGATGGGATCACAGCTCACTGGCATCTGACTGTAGCGGGTAGCAGGAGTTACACCCGAATTAAACAAATTTCATGACAAATAACTTCAAAATACGAAATTGTTTATCTCTCTGTATGTGCATGCCTCTGTGTCAGCTTGAATGAATGTACGTGTGTGTATCTATATGTATATGTGTGTCAGTGTGTCAGTCTGTATGTGTCTGTGTGTGATGGAGTCTCCCCCACAGTCTGGAAACTCCCTAAGATGTGGGTTGATAGTTTATGATCTCAGGGGAAGACAATTCCACAGATAATCTTTAATTTCATAGGGGGAAATGTTCAGAACAGCAAAGGGTGTGTGTGGGAATGGCTTCCATGTTTACAAAGTCCCATGGGCCTTTTTCGGCAGGATAAAAACCATCGGAAACTGTGAAAACTCCGTGTTACCCCTTGAAAGGCAAACATCAAAGGGCAGGCTCCAAGGAAAATGTTACGCACAACTTGGATTCACAGACTGCCTTAAGTCACAATTGTTCTGCTAATAAATAGACAAATTTAGAACATGTATGCTTCAAATTCCAATTTTATACATGTCTTGGGAAATTCTAGGGCATGTTTTCCTATAGCTATACAGACCACAAAGCCTTGTCTGGCGAGCACAAAACCCTTGGCGGGGGGGTGAGGGATAGAGGGAGAGGGAATGGAGAGGGGGAGGGAGAGGGAGTTCATACTGTACCCCTTTCTCCACAGCTTTTTCATTATATACAGGAAATAAGGAAGAAGAGATCAGAGTCAAATGGGACCCTGCTCTGCCCATGCTGAAGCTAGGCTCCCACCAAATCATCTTCAGGACAGTCTTGCAGGACAGAATGTTGGGCCCTCCTTGCTTGGGATTCAAAGAGTCAAGCTTCATGCTGGTTAGCCATCTACTGGCTGCCTTGGCACTAAGACTCAGCAGTGCCCAGCCTCTCTGGCACCTGCCTCTCATGGCGCCTGAGCTAAGGGGCCCTCAAGCCCACACCAGGGCCTCTCTTGCCTACTGTCACAGCGCACAAAGACAATTTTTCAGGGGAGGGTTCAGTTCAGGGACCCTGCTTTCTAATTCCCTTTGCTTCACATTGCAGATACCTCAGCCTTGTTGCAGATATGCACCGAGCAGCTCCAGCCTGCCATGGAGTCATGTGGTCTGTGAGGCGTCTGGAGGAGGAGGAAGAGAGCAATGTGGGCTGTGAAAGAGCCAAGGAAACCAGAGGCCAGGAATCCTTACAGGGTACAGCATCCTTCTGTGGAAACTTTGGGACAGTCTGCAGGGCAGGTGCTGTCATCTCTGGGGGAGAGGGGAGGAGACAGGAGGGGTGTCGTTAAAATGAAGAGGAATGGAGAAATTCTAAGATTGTCTCTTTTTGGGTCTGTCCACAAAGTCCAAGATGGAGGACCTGACAGGAGGTGTTTTGACAGGACAGCTTGACAAGACTCTGGGTTTTCCTGTAGGAGAAGAATAGCTGAGCTCTAACCTTTTCTCATCCACAGACACGGTAGTATTACTCCTGCTTGGTGACAAGCAGCTGCATAGGGAGGAAGCAGGTCACAAAGAATAAAGAATCTCTGGAGGAGTCCAGAGTGACTGAGATCAACTTGGAGGCTGAGGGAAGCCTAAAATGTCCCCTCAAATTCTCACTCAGTTTGGGATTTGGTCTTCACCGATATTAGGTCTCAAACCTGGGACAAAGGGCTGAGGTGCCTATTAACATATTAAAGCAGACCAGTCTGCCAGGCTCACCCACTACCAGTTAGGAGAAGCCCTGGCTGGCAGACTCCGCCCCTCTCCTAAATTCTCCAGCCCAAGGACTGTTCTGGGACCCTTCCCCCAGCTTCTCTTTTCTATATAATCCAGCCATTTTGGCTACCGGGTAGCGTGGTCTCCTGGTCCGCTGGCTTGCTCCTGGCCTCTTGGTTTCTGGTTCCTGTCTTGAGCTCCGGGTTCCTCTCTCTGTCTCCACACCTCTCTCCTCACATGGCCCAGCTTAGTCTTGCCCACCATGTTCACTCTGGGCTCTCTCAGATGTCTCTGCCTTGGCCTATATCTACAATAAAATATAATATCTAAACTATACAAAATATACTATCTATAATAAAACCCCCAGCCCCTTAGGAGCAGTCACGTCCTCCTTTTATTTCTTCTTTCATTCACCTGGTGTCTTTATCTCCATAGGTAACTTTATTGGTGCTGGGTTTCAGCCCAGGTCAAGGCCAAGACCAATGTTTCTGGAAAGTTCTATTCTTGTGCAGTTCTGGTCTCAGTGCTGCTCTCCCAGGTAGGAGTGTGGTGATAGCTATGAGTGACTTCGGTTGGTACCTGAGATGTCTCCTTCCTCTCCAGTGGACAGTAGCAGTCCCCAACCAGGTATTTTCAGACCCAGCCACCTTCCACTCCACACAAGGCTCCTGTGACTGCTAGGGAAAATATTGAATCCATTATAAACATTTGCATAATCTGCCCTTTGATCAGCCGAATTATCTTCTTAGAAAAAATGCTGCCTCGCCGGAGTGCTAGGTTCTTTATGCTTAACCTTTCACACAATGGAAGTGTTTTTCTGGCATCAGAAATGTCTTAATGTGATACAGACTTTAAAAGAATTCCTTTCTCAAGAACACCCTAAGTGTCTGGGCTTCCCCAGGCTGATGTAACCAAGGTTACTGGATCTACCTTTCACGTGGTCTGGCTAATCAGATAGCCATCCTAAGAGCGGCCTCTAAGGATTTCGTCATCTGAATTTACTTAGTTTGATAAAAGACGGGACAGAGTTAGCTGGAAATGGAGCCAGGACTGTCCCTCCACTGAATCTCCTCTTTATCCTACATAGCACAGCACAGAGCCCAGGACGGACAAACAAACCAGCAATTCAGAGTAGATTTTGAAAGCAGATCCTTCCAAACCAACTGTATAAAAGTAAATACATATATGCATATATACATAAATATGTATATATGCACACACACACAATAACAGGGCATTTCACTATGCAATAAACTATAAGTAAATTGTAATTATAAATTATACATATAACTTATATAACAAAATAAAAGAATCATTATTATAGCATCATGTAAGAAAATGCCCAGATTTTAAAGAGAAATGCAAACTGAACGGGGCGAGAATGAAATGATTTCATATCTAGAATTAGCATTAGGCTGCATCAGGACAAAAAGGAAGGCAGTAGGTAGACAGGAAGAGAGACAAAAAGGAGGAAGCAAAGCAGATAAATACATTTCAGAAGTTTCCTTTTTTTAATATCTGAATCTGGATGGTGGATATTTGATGTCCAGGCACTTTTGGAGGGTTGGTAATTTCTGTAATTAGAAACACACACCCCTTCAACCTCTCAGCAGAACAAGAAGGGAAAAGCCCTCAGTTGAGGAAGCAGGTAAGCAGAGAGCAGACAGCACGCCCCCTGCGCGCTGGTCGAGCATCAACAGAGAGGGGTTGTCGCCATGATGCGGCGGCCACGAGGAAGATCTTTGCCTTGGAATAAACTGATTTCATGAAAGAAACACACATCTCCTAAGGCCTGGCTTTCTATTCTTAAGGAGACTGTTTTTTAATGTCATTTTTTTTTTCCAAAGAGAAAGTAAGATGGTGACAGAGAGAATAAAGCATTTAAAAAACCAAATGTCATCAAATTACAATTGAAGTCAGGCCAGCGATGGAGAGGATTAAATATAGAGAAAAAATTTAAAAAACTTGAAGAAAAAAATGGTTGTACAAAACTTTTTCATCTTTTTTTTCAGTCAATGGTCGGGTTTGGTACTGACCAATGCTGGTCATCAGAGGATAAAGCTGTCTGCTGAAGCTCATACTTCCTTCCCACAATGTCTTTGAAGAGCCGTTTAGCATTGTGTGCTGACATTTTACCTGTGTATGCCCTCTGACCTGGTAGCTTCACTTCCTGGCACATTTCCTGTAAAGTGCTCATGTGAAGACATAAATCTATGTACAGAAACGAACAATGAATAAGTATTCTGTTGGTGTAAAACCAGTGGTCCTGGAAGCAGCCGTCCACTGGGACAAGTTTGAAGAAATGTTTGTTATTTGACAACTACTAGGGTCATGTAAAGATACTCATAAACACACTAGGAAGCCAGAAAGAAGTACTTCATTAATACATACACACACACACACACACACACACACACACACAAACAAAGGGTATGTGTATGCATGTTTGCGCATGTGTGGACATACATACACACACATGTGGAGTCTAATGGTCGATTTCAGGTGTCTTCCTGAATTTCTCTCTCCTCACTATGCACGAAGGCAGGATCTCCCACTGCACCCAGGTCTTTTTGATTTAGCTAGTCTAGCCAGCCAGCTTGCTCTGCAGAAGCCCAGTCTCTTCCTCCTGAGTTCTGGGTTTTCAAGCAGGCTGCCACGACCACCAACATTTACGTGGGTGTTGGGGACTCGAACTCCTGTCATTTTACTTGGCGAGTCATCTTCCTGGATCCCTTTTGAATGTATGTACTTGTTTGTTTACTTATCTTGTGTGTATGTATGAGTGCAGGTGTGTGTGTGTGTAAATGCACGCATGCTGTGGCACACCTGTGGAGGTCAGAGGACTCCTGGGAGCATGAAGGTTCTTGCATCCACAGATCACCATGGAAACCAAGAATGTTAAGCACATAGCTTCGTCCTCTTAAAGGAAAGGAAGTATAACCTGCTTTTCCATTCAGAACGTCCAGGAATTGGAGGTGATTAACAGCCAAGTGATCTGTGTTATTCATTGGACCAGGCCATATCAAGCTCCCACAACCAGGTCCGGAGGTGGCTAATAGTCTAAATGACCCCTACATTATCATCTGTATAGCCAGAGGTTCCCCCCAGCTCCCACAACCAGGACCTGAGGTGGCTAGTAGCCCAAATGACCTCTGTACTATCTGTATGGCTGAGACCAAGCTAGTTCCTTCTCTGGGCCCTTAAGCTAATACAGGCAGCCTATCTCTAGAACTCATCTCCTTGGAAGAAATGACATGTACTCTGAGTTGAGTTTTGATGTAATTATGCCTCCACATGCACAGGGAATTATATTGCACCAGGAAACTTTCCCCCAAATCGCACGGTATTTAAAAGTGCTGGCATAAACCACCTGGCGTCAGACTCTCCAGAAGTTTGATCCAGTCTGACTAAGTCAGGCAAACCGAGTTTTCATTCTCCGCTCTTCGAGGTTTGTTTCCCTGCCTTCCATGATGTTTGCAAGGATACCGCCTCCCCAGTAGAAAGTGAAAGTATTGAAGTTATCAAGGCCATGCCTAAGCACCTCTTCCCGATGAGCTGTCCTGTGTCCTTGTTTGAACTTTTACAAAAAAACACTAGTTTTTCTGTTAAGTTCTTTTACTAAAGGTGTTACAAAAGCACGAAGGAAATAGATGTGTGGAAAGTTGATCTGGACACACAATCTTGTATAGTGGGATCTTGGATAAAAAAAAAAAGGGGGGGGAGCACTTGCTTCACTCAGGCAGGTGAGATGGATGCGTTCAAGCCCAAAGACCTGCGTTCAATCCCGGAACCTCTTATGGTAGAAGAGATCAAGTTCCTGGGTGGTTTCCTCTGATTCTGTGTGCGTAGCATGGCACACAGATGCCCACACCCACATGTACCCATGCACAATAATAATACTAATAAATAAAATCTAAAGCCAATTATTTTCCAGACGCCTTGTGTTTGAATTTTCAGATGTCAAAGACAAGCTATTCTCTAGAAAGTATTTTATTAGTGTGCATTAGTCATACAAAATGACAGGTTTTATAACAGCCTTGTTGGGCACCAGACTGATCCCATGCTTCCTCAGAGGCCCTGGTGATAAAGGGAAGCTAGTTCTGCGTCCTTGCCCAGGAGCCTACTTGGCAAGGTACGGGCTGGGGCCTCGAAGGATTAAGGTTTCAGTTCCAGGGAAGCTGGCTTTTTCCTCTGAAGGCTGTGGCTATCAGTCCTAAGGCAGCTAGGTCTTAGATATCCTGAGTTCTCTTAAGCTCTCTGCTGACTTTGACCCATTTACCCCACTCCCCTGAAAATAGTATACAAGATTCTTATATAAGCTTATAAACTTCTTCATAAACCTGCTTGACATAGGACATAGCTAGTACAAGGCCTCTGAACCCCAGATTTCTGTCTTATTTATCGTCTCTTCCTCTGGTCATCCCACTTAGGGTTCTGTCCAGGAAAAGCAACCTGCTGGTCCAGGCCAATCTCCAAACTTGTGTATGCTGAACCACACCCTGCTCTGCAGCACCTGCCGTGTCTCTTGTGTAAACAGAGAATAGAGAGGGGTTGAGTCTCAGCGGCCACTCTCATAAGATATCTCCACCCCTGAGACTCACAATAATAACAACATTCAGAGTCTCACGGTGGTAAAAGGTAAAGTTATTAAGAAAGTATGAGTTTTGAGTGTTTATTGCTTTTGCTTCTTATCAGTTTATCCCATTGTAAATTCATGTAATTTACTTTCAAAGATAATGACAATATTAAACAGCTTAAAATTCCCCCCATAATCTGACAATTGGTTCTTTCAAGGCAACGTAAACCAGCCTTTTCATTTGGGGGTGATTGTTCCACAGAATGACAAGGAGTGAGAAGGGGAAAACCATTACTATGTGCCATAAACTAAATCTAACAGGTTAAAGCGAAAAGCAGGGTGGTTTGTGTCCCTTCCCATTAAGGACTTGGAGAGGAGAATGATCTCAGAGCAGAACGCAATACTCCCACGTGTCCTGGCTTCACCGGGCAGGGAGGGCAGTTAGAGGGGCTTGGTTCCACACGGGGAGGGCCTGCAAAGCTCTCTAGAGTTTGGATGGGAAGTTTCCCAAAGGAGTGGCCAGGGTAGAGAGAAGTGACACTCTGGAGAGGGACAGGCTTGAGAACCAAGGTACAAAGTGAATCAGACTCAGAGGCAGCATGCCAGGAGGGTGAGGCCGTCCTGGGGTGACAGAAGAGCCGCTGGGCAGACTCTCAACTGAAAACAGACCATAGTTGTGCCAGCCGGGGCTGTGAGGCACAGTAAAGACCAAGCCAGACTCACACATCTGTGACCTGCGTTACAGGAACTACCATACACTGCATGCCTAGCTGCCTGCACCCCAAACCTCACTATTACCTACACCCTCCAAGACTTAAAAGCGCCCATGGAGGGAGGAAGAAAGGGAGGCTGTCTGAGGAGTGGGAGATATGAAAGAGACAGAGCTATCCCAGTAGGCGTCTAGATTATTGGCTGGAGGCATGTATTAGATTGGATCAGAATGCAATTTTTCCTCCGCTGCACAGTTCTCTCTGAGCACAGCATCTCCAAAGGAAGCAATCTAGGTTCTGTGCACTCTTACTCCAGCAAATGTCAATTTGCAACCCTTTGATAGGACCTTAATTGGAGACCTGAAAATTCTTATAGAAAAATTAATCTTCGACCCATTTACCATTTATGGTTGCTTCCAGATTAAAAACTAAATCTTTCTGGAAAGACTTTGGTAAGATATTCTGTCCCCATCCTGGCATGTGGGGACATATAGGCTTCTGACCACAGAGGCATCCCCTACCCTCCAAAGGTGACCAGTATGGGGACTACAGAGCTCCTACAGGCTGTGCGGAGGGGCTAGAGGGCAGAGCGTGGGCACGGTCATGGTGAGCTAGACAGATGCCCATGGCCAGAATGCCAGCAATGTCCCAGGGTCAAGTGCTCTGCAAAGGTGTCCGGTTGCTCCTCTGTGATGGAAGCAGCTGTGGTCAAGTACCCAAAGGACACTCTTCTCTTGAAGTCCCAGATGGAGGAGCCCAGAGTGAACAGTTTCTGTTTTCACATCCTGAGAGTCGCCTCAACTAGAACCCCCACCTAGTCAGCACAATTCTCGTCTTCGTCCAGTTTCAACCACCCAGCAGGACATGTGCCAGGATTTATGTCACCAGATTTATGGAGCCAGTGACACCATTTTATAGCCACGGATGGTCATCTTGCTTTGAGAATCCTTCAAAAGAGATGTTCTCACATTTGGCAACGTAACGAGGTTGTTGACTCTGGGTCTGTATGGGAGGTGGGAGCCACATGTGAACTCAGCATTGTCGTCTTAGAGATTCCAGCTGGCTTGTTTTTACCCAGCAGGGTGTGGTGGGCAGAATGAGAAGTGGTGGCAGCAGCCTCTTCTGCCAGCTTTCAGCTGGTCCTTGATCTGCAGGGTGGCACATCCTCTTGAGAAGGATGCTGTGCTCCCAGGATCCTGCTGGAGAATTAGAGGCTTCCTGCGAGAGGAACAAGGGCTTGGAAGGTTCCCACGATCAAGGTGTCACATTTGGTGGGCATACCTCTCATTGGGCATTCCCAGGACGGCCGTGGCCTTTGTAGGGACAGTGGTGTGGGAAGCTGTGGACTCTGGGAAGAGAGACAGGGTGGGGGAAATGACTGGGCTGGAGGCTCCAAGCTGTGCTTTATGGGGTCTTCTCATAACTGGAGAGGATCTTATCTGGCTGTGCCTGCCAAGGGGCCGCGTGTCCATCCTCTTCTCCCTGCAGGTCCTATCAGATGTGTGAGAGCTGGACCTATTATTTCACCTTCTCTGGATGTCTCACTGGAGGACCCACACTGCAGAGGCACCAGGACCTTAGAGCAGAGCTCTCTAATGTTCCGTCATTGGCTGACTCCATTTATGTCGTTTGCTAGAGGGACATCATATTTTCTTTTGTTCCTTTCTCATAGAACAGACACATGTCCCATGTCACCTGGAACTGTTCAGTGTGTGATCAGGATTCTATAGAGATTCCTACCTGAGCAAATATGGTTTTCATTTTTACTTTGATCTGAACTAGATATTTAAGAAGTTCTGGTGATGGACATGGGTAATTTCCATGGAGTGCCCATAGATTTTGGCAGGTTG